TTCACATACACGATCCAGCTTGCCTGCAAGTACTACACAGCTCCATGTTGAAAATTTGCATGACTTGGGTACCATATTTTCCCCAAAAGGTAGTGTCAAAAAACACATGGATAAGGCATCTATTGCTATAACGACCCCAGAAATTGATATAGTGGACGATGAGATTCAGTTGGCTCCCACTAGTCCTTTGGTGTTGGATTTCTCTAATAGTTCGTATGAACATCATCAAAGTGGAGCTAATAAGTCTGCACATAAACCAAAATTTGAACCTAGTTTTAGGAACTCGTTTGGTAGGGTGAAGCCTACATTGGAGGCAACAACAGCACCAATGACACTGGAAACATATGATGAAACTATATACCCTGTTATTTCTCACGATTCTGTTGTTCATAGTCCAATAACACAGCCTATGTTCACTGAGGACATAGAAGAAGATGAACAGACACTTCTCATGGAAGATGATAAGTCTGATGAAGTCACCACCAGTTATTATGAGAAAGAAGTTCAAGAAGCCAGATTTAAGCTGATGCTGAGGTTTTAGATTTTGTGTATTTTTGGTTGGTTACGATGATTGTATTTTTGGATATTGTCCTTACTTGGGTTATTTTCAGGAAATGGAAACGTCACACAGCAAAGAAGAGGGAATTGCGTGAGCGCAAGCAGTTAGCAGCAAGTGCTGCACTGAGTTTGCTGTCAATGGGCCCACCAGTTAGGCGATTTGAAGTTGTGAGTATTCAGTAAAAGCTGTTTTTATTTTTATATGTTGAATAATATATGTATTTCTTATTTGCCTCAGTTCTGAAAGTTAAATAGAATCCTGGCATGTCCTTTGTTTTCTAGTTATACTTTGGCCATGATTGTAAGAACTAATTAAAATAGTAGTTGTGGAACTTTTGCCGATGCTACCTGAGCTAGTTCTTCTGTTCCATGCAAGTGTTGAGTTCACATCTAAATACTTATGGCCTTATATAACACGTAAATTTCTTCTAGTTCACATCTGAATGTTTATGGCATAAAATTTTATTAACGTTTTCTCGTTTGTCCCTTCCTCTATAGCAACCAAGCAGCTTCGGCACAATCGATATCAATCATGTCATGAGTGAGAGACACAAAATTCAAGAAAGATCGTGGTCAGTGTTGAATCCCTCAGAGGTGGGAGCACCAAAACTTCTCGAAAAAAATCAAGACGCTAAATGCCTTTGCTGGAAGCTGCTCATTTTGTCTCAAACGGAACAAAATACGAAGCCACCGAATGAAGCTGCCTCCATTTCATCTACAGATTCATGGCTCTATTCTAAGCTCATGCCTGAGAAAAATGATGCTGATGGCAATCTGCTTGTATCATTCCCTGGCCGCCTTTCAATTTGGAAAACTTGGCTTTCTAATTCCAGTGCTGAACCGACTTTGTGTTTATCAGTTATCAAGAACATCACATTCGAACAACAAAATGTGGCTACAGCAGGATCAAGTGCAGTTCTCTTCGTTTTATCAGATTATATTCCGATGGAGTTTCAGAAGAAAGGTCTTCATGATTTTGTTATGTCGCTACCTTCAGGTTCTCGTTTGCCTCTACTTGTATTAAGTGGCTCTAGCAAGGATGAAGCCAGTCCATCTAGCATAGCTTACGCTCTAGGGATGGATGAGATGGACAAATCCAGGGTGGCAAATTTTCATTTTACATTTCTTAAAGACAGTGTTAAAAAATTCGACGGATTTCTTAGTGACGAACGTTTGAGAGAAGGACTCGAGTGGCTGGCTAGTGAAACCCCACCTCAGGTTGTCGTTCGAGGAACAAAAACCCGTGAATTGATCTTGTCCCACTTGAATTCCACTTTACAAATGAATATTCACAGAATTGGTCCTGACGACTGCATTTCGGCATTTAATAATTCTCTCGATCAGTCGATGAAAAAAGTTGCTAATGCAGCTCGTGCAAATCCCACTGGTTGGCCATGTCCCGAAATCGAGCTTCTTGAAGAGTCGAGTGAAGAGAAAATGGCAGCTGCTTGGTATTTGCCTAGCTTGGGGTGGAGCTCAGAATCGAGAACTGAATTGCTTATGTGTACATTGAATGATTTGAAGCTTCCATCTTTGGGAGATGACTTAAGTTGGTTATCAGAAGGCTGCAACATTGGTCGTGATTCGGAGAGCAAAAAATCACGGCTCGAAAATTGCTTAACCGAATATTTGAGTAAGAGTAGTGGGATGATGGATATAGACTTGGCCTGGAAAGAAGCAGGTGTTCTGCTTCAGAAGTTCACTCGTCTGGAGTTTCCTAACACGACGTATTTTATTGTTCCGAATTGGGTCTCGATTTTCCGAAGGATTTTCAATTGGCGGCTGATGAGTTTGAATAGTGGTGAAGTGTCGTCAACGTATGTCTTGGAACGGAATTATTTCACGAGTCTGAGTTGTGAGTCTGTGGATGAGTTAGAATCACAAGTTATCTGCCCATTGCTTGACGAATTGGTTGAAGTTGGTTATCAGACGAATGAGTCGAATTATATGGAATATGAAGCCATTCGGCCGTTTTCACCACAACCTATGGTTTCTTTTGGTGCTACTGATGATGATGATGAAGAAAATGCCATTTTAGTGGCAAATAAGGGGAAAATTTTCGGGAAAAGTTATGATGACCATTTAGCAACGGAAGAAAATAATGAGCGCGGTTTGTCGATGAATGTTGTGAAAACAACACCGGAAGCGGATAAATTAAGTGAATTGTTGGACAAGTGTAGTATTTTGCAAAACCTGATTGACGAGAAGTTGTCGGTCTATTTTTGATATTAGAGTGTTTATTATTGGTCAAATTTCGTGAAATTTACCAGGAAAATTTGTGCAAATTTACTCCGAAAATATTTGACCTGAAATAGACCGTGCATTTGAAGAGCTTTGGTAGTGATCTGATCTTATACATTTTACATTTTATACTTGCTTTTCTGATGTCTGCGGATTCCTGACGCTTTTAGAATTCAATTAGCTTGTTCATCCCGGTAATATTGGGATGAGAAGGGATTATTTCGTCTAGGGGATATAATAATTTTCTAAACAACTTTATTAATTCATTCTCTTCAACAAAATCTAGATGAATATTATAAATCTAGATGAATATTATAAATCTCTGTATTCCTACTACAATAATAATGATTAATGTATGACTAGCAAAAAAAAAGTAATATTTACAATTTTGAAAATAATATTAAGAAAATAATATTAAGAAATATTATTTACATTTTTGAAAATAGTATTAAAAATAGAAATTAATGTATGACTAACAAAAAAAATAATATTTACAATTTTGAATATAATATTAAGAAATAATATTTACAATTTTGAAAATATTATTAAAAATAGAAATGAATTAGGATGCTCGTGCAGTAAATTTTTCGTTAGTCACTCCTTAGTAAATCAAATCTCAAATCAAATCTCTCAATTGTCAATGAATCTCTCAAGACCTGGTTCACTCAGGACATAATGGTTTTTATAAAAGCTATTAAATTTTTCGTCACTCCTTAATAAATCAAATCTCAATGGTTTTTATAAAAGTTTCGTCACTCCTTAATAAATCAAATCTCAAATCAAATCTCTCAATTGCATTACTTGACCTAATGGTTCACTCAGGGACATAATGATTTTTATAAAAGCATTACTAGAAGGGACCTAATGGTTCACTCAGGGATGGTTTTTATAAAAGCACGTAAATTTTTCGTTAGTCACTCAATAAATCAAATCTCAAATCAAATCTCTCAATTGCATTAAGGTCACTCAGGGACATAATGGTTTCTATAAAAGCACGTAAATGGTTATTTTTTGACAATATTTTTTATTTCTTCAATTATTTGTAATAAAAGAAAAAGTAAAACTTAAATTTCTTCTTATATACAAATTTTAAATTTTACAGTAATTAACATGACTAATCCTTTCATATATATATATATATATATATAAACGAGATGTGGTACAAGAAAACAAGGGTTGTGTGTGCTTGAAAACGTTGATAAAAGTTGTATTTCATGATGTATCTAAAATAATTTAGTACATTATCACCTAAAAATTTAATTTAGGTGTTTTTAGACTTATTTTTCAATAATATTTTTGAAATATTAAGTAATTTCATATATTTTTTAAAAATAAATATACAACATTTTAGATACTTTTACATGTGTTATATAACATTTTAGTATTATTAATATTTAATAGACATCTTTTGTGTTTTTACCCAAATTAATTTTTAATATTTTAAATAGACATGTCTTGTGTTGTATACAACAACAACAACAAAGCATTAAAATTTCACTAAGAGGAGTCGGCTATATGAGTCACATGTCGCCGTCGTGCTATATCAAAAAACATATCCTCATTCAAATTTAAATATTTTTAAATCTTTTTTATTATTTCCTTCTAAGTTTTTGACTCTAATGTTTTGTGTTCTACACGCAAATTAATTTTTATGTAGCCTAAATTGTAGTAAGAAAATAGAATAGTTACCACGTACGTAGTGGGTCATTTATCTACATAAATCTATATCATAACCACATAATAATAACACACCCGGACACGAAACAAAATAATTTTCACAAGCTTGCATTTCAACTACCTGCTACCAACTCTAATTCCATGAAAACGCAGCACACCAACGAACATGACAAAAAGGCAACTCCATGTACCAAATTTTCTGTGCTTAATGAAACAAACAAGACAAAATGCACTGTGTACAAACATTATGCCACCAAAAGAAATACTCTGACTTCCAAAAATATCACTGCCAACAGAAAAACATTCCCAATCCAAAGAGATACAAAGTCAAGGACTTCAATTGGCAAATACGGGCCACTTGCATTCCTTTCTTGCCCTTCGATTGCCCAATTTTGCACCAGTTAGCCAGTAGCATAAGTACTTGTGAAATGAGTTGGCTTTAATGATAAATCGCACAACTCTCAAACAATTAATGTACTAAACTGACATATGGAAAACAAACAGATATTTCTGCAGCATCACTAAGCAAGCAAAACGACCCATAATTTCGCAAGTTCAGCGAAGAGAGAGCCGCTAACGCACCTAAAGGTAATTTTCAAACAATTAACGTATTAAACTGACATACGGAAAACAAACAGATATTTCTGCAGCATCACTAAGCAAGCAAAACACCATATATATCTAACAAGTTGCCATAATGACCATTCCAAATATCTCTAAATCCTTCCAGACAACTATTCGAAACAAAAAGTAAATCTTGTAACATGAATGCGAGAGGCACAGGATCTACTAAAGTAAGCACACCCAATGATTTATACATTGTTTAAGTGTTTAATGTGTACAATGATGATTGTTATATCGTCTGTCCGATTCTCGTTCTCTAACCACAATTTGTAAGATTCATCCGCTATTGCAGCACAAGCTTCCCTGGGATCAGCATATTTATTGACCTGCATGAACGGTAAAAAAAAAAAAATCAGATAAAAGTGATAATATGAAGATTGTCTGTCTATCAGGAAGCTGTGGATTTCTAAATATCGTAACTAGTGTAAGTGAGAGTGGAGAAACAATAATCTCTCCCCCTCTCTCTCCACAAATATGCGGATCTATTCTATACAGCTGAGAGCAATCAAATCAAAATGAAAACAAATCAAGTAACCAAAACGAAAATAAATCCGATGTTCCTTTGGTTATGGCTATGAGATATTTCCTTTTAGTACACAGACTAAGCAAAAGTGGATTAAACATAGCAACTACTAGTATTAACACAGGGACAACTCGTCACTAAAACATCAATCAGTCATTGCCATGTGATTCCAAATTTCCAACAGACACCAAAAGCAACAAGCAAAAAAANAATCAATCATCTTTCCCCTGAAGCCAAGAAAATTACAAACAAACAGATAGGTACAAGTAAAAACGCACGTACCATTATGGCTTGATAAAAACTCGAAAACCCCATCACTGGCGATCAAGAAAAACGGATGATCAGCCGTGAGCCTCACAGTAGAAACCTCAGGATCCGCAACTACTCCAATCTTCTCAGCCATACTGTCTCCCACACTCCTAGTAAATGCAGTCCCAGGGTACATCCCATCCTGTACCCACAGCCGCGGAGGATCGGCCCCTTCAGTCTCCTCATTTCCCCATGACTGTATACTCGGGTCCTTTATCCCTTCCACCTGGTCTACACTCAAAACCCTAGCCCCACAAAGCTTAACTCTCTCACACTCGTCCTTTCTGAATGGGGTTTGATCTCTGGACAGGTCTTGGGCAAGAACTCTGTCTCCTTCCCTGACTCCCAGCACAGCCCGCGAATCTCCCACATTGGCTACATACAGTTTGTCCCCAATCACAAGGGCTGTAATTGCAGTTGTGCCACTCATGGAGTCGTCTACCTCGCTGGCGTGGAGCTCGTCGTTTGTTGCCAGAAAGGCCGAGCTGTAGGCGTTGATGGGATCGTCCGGTAAGGATGGGTTTTCAGAGAGTTTCTCGATTAGCCTGTTTTTGACGAAAGACGAGCACTGGGTCCCACAGAGACCGTGCCCGTCGAAAACCCCGAAGAAGTGGACGTTAGGGTTTCCCTGGACGGCGGTTTTCACGCAGTAGCTGTCCTGATTCTCCTTGTTCGGGGCTTCTGGGTAGTAGCCGCGAAGGCTGAAGGCGGCGTATGAAAGCCGGATATTGTGGGAGGGGATGTTGACGGCGTCTAGGGAAACGTCGGATGCGGGCCTGCGGGGGTTGTTCGGGCCGGGGAAGGCGCCCGATTCTTCTTCTTCCTCGTTGTTGTCGCCGTCGGAGGAGCGCGAGCAGGTACGGCAGCATTTGGCCTGAATGCAGCCCATTCTGCAGCGGAAGTTGTGGAATTTGGGGAAGAAAGTCGCGCTCGAGCACCAATTGCTCGGGAAAAGTCCTGAGAGAAACCTAGGCATGAAGATTGCGGCTAAACCCACGGGTCAGACGGCGAAAATGGCTCCCTCGAAACCAACATTATCGGCGTTGGGCGATGAGGACTGTGCAAAACCCAGAGGAGAAGCGGTTAATTCTTGATCAGACGCAAAAAAGCAAAAGGGCGGTTTGTTTTCAATTGGAAAGGTCCTTGCAATCGGCGAATAAAATAAAGGCAATCAGCAAGAAATGATGAGAGAGGGAAAGGAATTTGGAGTTGAAATTGGGAAGACTCGTGCTTTTGGACAACAAGATAGGGGGAAATTGACAGTAGACGTGAAAGCGTGTGTTTGAGATCACTCGGCCAAAACAATATATAAAAAAAGAGTGGAAATCAATTTAATTCAAAAAAATTCATAAAAATTTTGACAACACAATTTAATTCATAAAAATTGCATAATTACTTCATGCATAGTGCACACATAGTTCAAAAACAACATCTATTGCATATGATGATTGCATATTTAATCATAAAATGATACATATTTAGTTCATATATAATACATATTTAGTTCATATTCGTTTAATAGTTTTAAGTGAATATTTACTTATATACAATGCATATTTCGTTTATGCATAATTTATAGTACATTCAATGGTCAATTCCTTGGTCAACTCTGGCGGCCTAGAAGTCAACGGTCAAATTAATATTTAAATAATTAAAACAAAATAAAAGATTAAATCTTAGCCACAAATCTTGTTCCCTATTTGAAAAGAATATGATAGGACCTCACATTCTCATTTTAAGAATAGAGACTCATTTGATCTAATAAACAGCAGGATCGAACTGGGTGAACCGGCTGGTCGAGCAAGAGACTGGCGTCTGGTCGAGGAAGGTGTAGCGAACCCAAGGAGCACCAATGGGTCGAATTAGAGCCCTCGGATGGACTGGCCGAAGATCGACCTGGTAAGCGGGGCCTATGAGTTCGGTATCGACAACACTCCACCTCGAAGTAATCTGAATCGGTCGTACGATTACGGTCTAACAAAGAAGACTAAGGGATAAAAAAGAATATTATTAAGATAAGATCCACACGTGGATAGGGCCACGTGACTTAACAGAATTGGACAGTTCAGACAGTACGAACGGGTAGTTTGACAGTTTGAGCAGTACATTCAATTAATCTTGGGCAACAAGATTACACATCTCTATGTAAGGGGGTGAGGTACGTCTGTGATTATATTACATTCTCTACATACTTGCATACTATTCATCATCTTCTACACATCTCTAACTTAAGCATTGGAGACTCATCACTAGAAACCCCTCCGGTGTCGAGATTTTGCTGGTATCGAAGGTCATCCACCGACGAGGACAGAACATGCCGAACCAAGCCGATCGAGGGTCTTTTACATAACATTTGGCGCCATTTGTGGACAACTCGTTCAAAAAGCCATCAACCAGATCCATCCATGGCGAGTAAGATTCCTAGAAAAAAATAAGAGTCGTCTCCAACCCTGACAACCCCGACACTTCATCATGAGGGTTGGGGGAGCTCATCGATGGTCCCTACCTTAGCAGTAGCTCTAAGTAGCTAGAGAGAGGTTAGATCTAGCCAGGAGGTCGTGGTTCCACTGCTGGGATCTATAAGGATCGCCGATAATATGCAAGTTATAATTTTATCTACGAATTAATATATGCGCAGCGGATCTATAAGTTAAGATAGAAGACTCACGATTTAATATTTTACCGACTCTGAGACGCTGTAGATATCCGTTGTTGGAGATCATCTGAACCTCAAAGTCCGTTGGGGTAGCCGGACTTGGCTTCGTCGGAGCTTCGCGGGTAACATATGTGCGATCGAGAGCAGCAGGTCGCGAACGGGCTCTGGGGAGGATGTCTCGGGTCGTCTGGGCGTCAAGCGGGTCTCGCGGGTCGCATGGCATCACGAGGCTGCAGGCGTCGCGGGTCTCGGCATCACTGGGAAGCAGCAGACCATCACCGGGCGCGAACGGGTGCAACGGGTCATCATCAAGAGTGAGCAGGTGGCGTCGCATGGGCGATGCGAGAGAGAGGGTTTCGTCCGGGCATCGCCGATGGACTCAGGTCGTCTCGCGGCGGTGCTAGCGACCGACGGTGGTCGAGTGCTCGACTACCTCAAGATCTTCTATTGAGTTACCTAACACCTCTAGAAGTCCCTTGGTGGGAAGGAGAATCTAGATATCTCTATGTGTTGTATGTCTTGGAATACTAAGATGTATATTTATAGGCTTAAGTAGGGACCTTAAGGAGGCAATAAATTGAGCTTCTATTTGGGCCTAACTGTGGGCCAAGCCTACTTAGCCAAATATGAATAGTACAGTCATTCCACTAAAGTAGTTTATTGAATTTTTCCAATTTAATTCTCAAATTACGATGAGCTCCACTTCTACATTACTCGAATTACCTCCTCATGTTTAAAATATAATATCTACCAATTTATTTAATTACCGATAATTAAATTAATCGACTTCTTGAACCGAAGCTAGCACCGTTCAATACATTATTATTATGTCGGAATTTAATCCACATGTAGGGTTTAACATAATAATCCTTCTGAACTCACTTCGGGTACATCATCAAACCTCAACTTTGTGAAGTACACGGTGACCGTAAATATTATAACAAAACCCCATGTCATGTAGAGTCACTACCCAAAACAGACAGTTATTGGTCCATGATTATAAACCACACTTTGCTGATTCAAAACAGTAACTACTACATACATGTGTTTGTTTATATCTTATGGGTTAAGAGGACACAGTAATTAGCCAAAGCCTAGTTCGTTTAGACTGAGCAGTATAAAACGAACTGCTCATATCTAGGATCCAGTCAATACATCAATGTGTACTAGCATGACTAATCAGTCAAGACCAACTGTACTATCCACACTACAGCCATGTTGATGGCCTTTTGAATTTCAATCTAGGTTATGAACCAATTGTTTATGTTTTGCAAGTAACCGATAAATGATCTTCATCCGTGATGAACCATTTATTTAGATGCAAAGCAACAGAACATAGAACTTTATTTAATTAAACATGAATTCTCATTCAACATAAATAGTGTGAATAACACCTAAACCCAAGCTTTCAGTATATACACTAACAATCTCCTACTTATACTTAAAGCTTATATTTTCTAGTATACATCTTACAATCCTTATGCTAAAAGACCTATGTCGATCCTGACACCACACATCTGACTCTCATTCCTTCCACGTGTCTGGCGATGACTTTCCCCGATAGACTCTTTGTTAAATGATCAGCTAGGTTGTCCTCCGATGCAATCTTGACAAATGGAAACCTCGACGTCTCCTCTCCTTACGATCTCTATATTAGGAATGAAAGGGCCATGACCACCTTTCTCGCGGCAGCGTGCGCCGGCTCGGCTGCAATAGTGGCCTAGCACTGGCGCGTCAAGCGGCATCCAGTTCTAGCGCCACTCCAGTGGCTACACGCCCTTCAGTGGGCACCAGATTCGCGCGACAGGCTGAGATGTTTTTCATGCGGCGAGCTCGGGCATCGGCAGGCCACGTGCCCTCGGTCGGGCGATTCCCGTACGCTGCTCGCTGGTGACAGTGGTGTCCAGGAGTACGACGGCCCGCATATATTAGACGAGAATCCATCTTTGTAGGAGGTGCATGTGCACGGCGACGTCGGTCAGTGCTTATTCTTCATTGATCATGCTTGGCATTTGCGCTTCTGAAGAAGAATTCGAGTTCTTCAGATTCGTCAGATCCTCAGGATAATAAAGCTACAGAAACATTATTGTCAACTTCGTTGCAATCTACACCAGTCCCTTCACTATCTGGAGACTCTCCTTAGTCCCAAGCGTGCTACTCACTCAGAGGGTGTTAAACAAAGATGATGATTTCTCTCTTAAAGCTATTGATTTTGGGCTTTCTGTTTTCTTCAAGCCAAGTCACATTTTCATGGATCTGTTTGGGATCCCATCCTACGTGCCACATGAGGTTACAGAAGAAAACGGGAATTATTTTAGAGCCAAGTCACATTTTCTTTTGGAGAATTATGGCCCAGAAGCATACGTGCATTATTTTGGAAAATATGGCTCTACTTTAAAGGTTACAACACAACGTGATCTTTTGGATGCAACAAATGTACACAATAGTGGGCCGATGAGGATTGGACTGGTTGACTCGTCCAAGAATACAGTGAAGGTTGGCACGGATTGGCGTACGGTGCCAAGTGATGATGTTGACCCCTTGCGTTTCTTGGACGAAGTTGCTAATGCTTCGTACAAGCAACATGCAGATGTGCGTCATGGCCATGTCGATTTCGATGTAGGCGATTATGGGTGGGCCGTACTGATGGCGAATAGATTTTTTGCACTGCGTATACCAAGTTGTTGGCCCGTAAAATCGGCATGGTCGAGATCGTAGAGAAGATCAATCCTAATGCATACCGGCTCCAACTTCCTTCTCGTATTCGCACCTCGGACGTTTTCAATGTCAAGCACCTGGTGCCTTTTCGAGGTGATAATTTGGACGAAGACGAGATCAGGTCGATTCGAGGGTGATCCTTCTCGATTGTGGGAGAATGATGGAGACGAGATCACACTCGCCTTCTTGAAAAAACGAGATCGTCGGCGTCATTAGTTGATTACTTATTTTTGCCTTATTTATTAGTATTCGTATTTTTACTCTATGTAGTTTGGTAGGTGATTTTTTGTTTTATTTAATAGTTCTTTCTTATTGGGTAAGTCAAGTATTTAGGACTTTTAGAACTCCATATATTTAAATTTTATAAGCTTGACCAATCGATCATTGAAGAATAATACATAAATTTTAAGATGTATCTCTTTTAGTTCCCTTTCGTACATGCTAACTGCGACAGTTAGATTTGAGTGAGATTTTGAGTTTGTATTAAAATAATATCGAATATAAAATGATTAAAGTTGATTTGATGTAAAAATATAAAAGATGCGATTATTGAAAGTGATGAATATAAAATTGTGTGAATTGATGATTAGTGAATTAAAGTTGATGTTATATGTGAAGATGATTGATTGATAATATTTAATTATATTAATAATATAGGAGAGAGTTGAGAGTTAAATTTGAATAAGATTTTAAATTAAAAAAAGTAACAGTGATAAGATAAATTTGTATCCAAGCACCCCACCCCGTAAACACGGTAGTATGCATCAAATGAAACAACATCAAAATAAAAGAAAAACTTCAACAGCTATGTGATAATCAGATCCTATTGATTCATAACAAATACCGAACTCAACCCAGAGACATAATTTGCCATGCAGTACACTATTCAAACTCTATAACTGAACATCGTCTATGACCCAACAACTTTTGAGAGAAAATTCACAAAAGTGGGCATAGCTATTTAGCAAATAGAAAAAATAATGTTTGCATTTGAACAGAAAGATTTATAGATTTCAAGAGAAGATTTGATAAAGAGATCAAAAGTAACTCACTACTCCAAAATAAGGGAACTCATCAAATAGGCAAGTTCATCAAGGCAGCCTCGATGGATTATTATCACCAAGTACGAGGATATAAAATACTCAACCTCAAAACCCGTCGATCCAAATGAAACCTGAACGAATACTTAGTCCTAAGGTTTTGTAAGTTTTATATCCAATCTCCTTTCACCTTTCAATAGATATGCATTCCTCAATTAAATAAACAATCAAGTCTGAGTTAGCCGCAACGTGTACAGCTCATTTAAGCAAAAATTAACAGAAGGCGCCCGGAAACCTATCCAGCTTCTTAACTTTGACATGATTTCCCCAAAACAACAGGATTCAATATGCATTCACATATGAAGGGAGATATATGGTAAAACGAACAATGGCATGGAAAATACAAGACAATGTAGCTCACACAACTGGCCAGCTTCAAACAGCACTCAAACAGGAAGTCAACAATAACTTGACGCCAAAAATCTTTATGCATTTGGTGTGGCTGCAACGGGACATTTACCCAACGTATTCCACAAAATGTAATCCCCAGATGTAACCTATATTTTTGAATGAGGAAATAAGTACAAGCCCAGAAATATATGCATAATAATGCTTAGAAGGATGAGATAGGGAACTATATGCAACTAATGTTGCCCGAGTAATTCACTTTTTAAGAAAAAAAGAAATAAACATAAGAGAAAATTGGTGTCTGAAGGTAAGCATACCTGAGACGAAATTTCCACAGTTGCCTTGACTGCAGGAAATACACTTACCTGCAATAGCCACTTGATTGTATAAATATAATCTGAAAATATTACAAGCGATGGAAAAAGCAACAAAGCAAATTCACATGCTTATTTAACTGCTTGACATGGAAAGCTTCATTTGATAAAAATAAAAGGAAAAAGAAAAAAAGAAGGGATCAGATCAAATTAGTAAATCACAGGATGGTTTAATCATTATGCAACACAAACGTATTAAAAATAATCATAAAAAGATTGACGTGCAGATTTCCACTCTCACACTTCAGAAAAACGTATGTACTCAAAATACGACCAAGACAAGCGAGATTAGCTTGGCGACCATGTTGAAACCACGTTTGTACTCAGAGATGAAAGACGAAAACATACCCTAAAAGCTTCATGTCAAGACTACTTAAATTCTGACACCTGAAGAGACTGCAAATGCCTCATGAAAGAAATCCATAAAACAGAAGCACAACATGCCAAATTTCATATTCATAGAAATCCAGAGGCTTTTTCGTAAGTGAACAAGATTAATATTTATAAGTAAATGGAAACTTCTTTAAATGACATGGTAAATGACATATTTAGTAAGCAAGTGCACTAAACTTCTGCTCATTTTAGCATCATCATACCAAAGCATAATCCTTCAGGGCCATTTTGCAATGCTATGGGTAAGAAAGATTTCATTTGACCGGAAGCAAGTATAGATTTAAAGCTTTCACTTCTGTTTGATTTGTAATAGACATGTGTGTAACCAAGAAAGTATAAGGTAGAAATTTTCTGTTCAAAGGAGTTAATGCAAGGTGAGATGACATAAGATTATCCAACATTGGTAAAAGAAGACTTCCAACCTCACTTTCTTTATCTATTGTTCCTCTTTATTTTGGTTTTTATTTTAGTGAAGAAGAATCAGAGTTTTATAGTAAACTTAAATGGGAAAGAGAGCTGGTCTATTCAAGAACACTGTACTGATTTGTTATATTTTTGAAGGGTAAATGTGACTGAAAGTCTGAAAATGACTTACAGATTTAGGATCGATAGACATTCCTGATAATGGAGGTCCAATCATCTTGAAAGAAACCTGCACACATAAGCATTAACACTATTGTGAAAATAAATTGCCATATAAACAGACAAAATGTGAGGACAAACAATATATAAAAGCCGATTCACAAATATATTAGCTAACTCAAGAGACTTACGAGCCTCAGTGTTTGTATGTATATATTTGAATATATAAAATATATTTTATCAAAAAGGGGGCAGTGTCTCAAAAGATCTTGTCTGTAAGTGCTGGTTTAAACATTAATTCAACGAATTCTCTCCAGGCGAAACTGATTTGCTCAGGAGCACTCAGTCACCCTTTCAGAGGATGGCCTATACATACAGATCTAACCTTAAACAATATTTCATCAGAGTAAAACAAGCAACAACCAACTTTTACGACAAAGAAACACAGAAACATGCCGCATCACCATAGTAACTTTTTTCCTCCTCACTATCCGCTCGTCAAAGAGAACCCAAAATGTGATTGGAAATACTTACTTTCGCATAATTATACGCCTGCCAGCAAAAAGGCTCTTCCAGATCAACCGCCTGAAGATCCTTATTCATTTTCTCCATTATCTGATCCTCCACATTAACCATGCTACCACCACCACCAGCCTCACTCTCGAGATCACTATCCTCATCAGCCAAACTCCCCTGCCACGGATTAAACTTAACTGTTCCAGAAAAAGTCGCCTCTATGTTCTTTCCAGAACCACTCCGCGTATTTGTGACCAACTTCCACTCCACTGAGTGGTCCGTGTAAGAAACCGTCCCAACTGAAGGCGTCCCGTCAAGCGAGACCACTCGCCTCCTAGGGAAAGGCATGGTCACCGAACAGAACTCAATCGTCAATGGGGTCTTATAACCTTCTACGAGGCTCAGCCTGAACAAAAACGCGCCCTCGTTTTCCGAAACCATTGACAGCTGGTAGAACCCCTTCACTGGAGGACCCATAGAACATAGTGCCTGATAATGCATCAAGACGAAATTCCCCAACGGTGGTGAGAAAGTTACGGCTTGCTTGTCACCCCCATGCTCTGGGACCTGAGCACAGGGGTGAAAGCTCAGGGACTGAACACGAGCAGAGTCGAGACCGGTCAATGGGAACGAGACATCAGGAAGACCTTCTAAATCGGCTCTGCAGTTGACCTGACCGGAAATTGTGATACTGTCCGGGATTTCGTCCCGATCATACATGGAAGCGTGTACAGTGTCGTGGATCGTGAACAGTATCCTTTGCTTGCCACGGTAGAGATAAGGCTTCCAGGCTGGCTGCTTCCTGTCTGGAGGAGGAATATCCGCAGGAGAAAATCCGGTGGTCCTGATGGCGGAGATATTTGAGTGGCTAAGATCCAGTGGAGTCCCTACACAAAAAAAGGAGTAGAAAGGAGTTATATAGAACGGCAAGGTGTGTCTCTAGCAAAATGGGTGTGAAAGGAAAAACTACACACAAATGCATAATATATATATATATATATACACACACAAACACACACGTCATTGTAGTTACAAAGTTCCAACATTTTGATCTTCCAATTAGTGAAGCTAACATAGACGGATGATGCCATCGAATACTTTCACAATAACATTTATCAATCTTTTTTGAACACTACAAATAACCCCCCAACTCACAGGTTCCAGGCTATTAATATTATGTCGAGAGATTTATGACATCAGCAAATTCTGTCAGGTCAATTAACTACTGGGCCTACATGTAAGATGGAACCAAATTTTGAGGGTGTTTTTGTAGATACTAGTAATTTTTGTAATCATCCAAAAACAAAGTTTACCAACCAAAGGGCATTGCGCTAGTGATGAACAACCGGAGTACTTCTTTGTCTAATGGCCTTGAACCCATCTTTGGAGCATCAGACATTACGGCTCCACTCACAGCAGTCCCAGATGCAGAGGATGCTGCAATAGGAGTAGCTATGGGTTTTGCTCGGGCTGAAATACCAGAAATTCCTATACTTCCCGTGAGAGAATCCAGCAACCCTCCCACCGAGGGAGACGCAACAACAACAACTTCAGGCTCCACTGATTCTCCCATAACAATCTCTCCAATAGTTTGTGCCACATGGAGTGCCCTGGTTCAACAAATTCATAAGGGATCAGAAATAAAATTCAAACAAGTATAGGCCTCAATGAGTAAGATCACTCTTAAAAATAGTACATATGAAGACATGATATTTCTTGGAAAAAAACATAATTCTCGCACAGAAGATAATAGATAGACAACCAGAGCATCATCGGAATACACAAGCTACTTGAGAGAGAATTAGACAGTTAGCGAATGTAACTTAAGAAGGGGGCTGGCAAGAGGAAAGGGGAGATGACGAATTCAATGGGAGAAATCTTTCAAGCGGTTCCTCAAAAAATGAAGCTCCAGTACCAAATGTTTGCCCAAGAGTTCTAGGGAAAGACAAGAGGAAGATGAGCAAGCAACTGATTTTCAACTGTTGATGACTAAAAAACGTATTGGTCAGTCTGGAAAGTTCCAGAAGATACATATCAATACAAAATAATCTATTTAAACCAGCTACCATGAGTAACTATTCAGATGCCATACCTGTAACCTATAGTTTATTTTGATAAGGAAAACATGACGAAATACAAATCCATGAAAAATAAATCAAGACAGAACTATAGGAAAAGCCATCCTAATGTATCATGAAACTAATTGAATAACAGTTTCACACGTAGGACTACAACTTACCATACCCTGTGATGGATGGAAGATCAAGAAGCAAGGAAGACAAATTCTCATCTGCGCCCACAGCACTTCCGCAGTCTGAGCTATTGCACATCCTCGAATAGGATTTCAAATGATGAGTCTCCACCAAAGGCAAAATGAGAATAGAGTATGGACCCTTTATATGCAAGATTAGGGGCCACAAAATACTGTTCTGCCCTTTCTCTTCTCTATTGATGTGAAGACTGATTACATGACGAGTAATGGGATCATCAATCCATGAATCTGATCCTTTAACAGATTGACTTACACGAAGGCCAAATCCACGAGCAGACCCCTCCCTGTCATAACCACCACAATCAATGAGCAAGAGAAAACTTGCAAATAATTATCCTCGTATCACATTACAAAATATCTAACAACATATATTTGCAGGTCAATCGCTCCAATGCCAAAGGAAAAGGAAAAATGCAAAGGAAAATCCAAATAGATATCCACTCTTCCATCCTTATAAACACTAACAAAAAAGCATATGAATAACGAAAGAAATCCCTTGAATGTAGCTAGTAACATCCCATTAAATTTCTAAGCATAAATACACACACAAAAAATTAAGAAATTGAGTAAACACTGAAGTTCTGATCAAAGGCATCGAAAAAGAAAAAGAAAAAAAGAAAGGAATGCCTAAAACTACTATGAATTCCATATATAGATTAACTAAAATAAAACACATAATCAGTATTAAAAGTTCCAAGCTGAAACTGAGTATTTTCTAGTCGCACTGTGTTGCTTCTCAATTTTAATATGCAAGAAGAAAAAACACAGGGCTCCGCCCCCCAAGAACATGCAGCTAAGCAAGAGTAATTGGTATAATTTAGATCATGTTCTAAATGGTCCTTAGTGACAAAGGTAAGGTATTTAAGCGTACTTTTAAGAAGGTCAGAAAACTCAAAACACATATAGGCATACTCCTAGATCAACAAGGTTTTAGCACTTCAAAAAACAAAAAGAACATAAAGAAGATGATAAAGTATTAACCAGAACATTTGTAATCTGTAAAATCTCCAAATATGGTTAAATCATTAGCTACAGCTCTAAATTTCTCAACCAACAACTCGAGACAATACGCGCAGTAAGATAAAGCACGGTGGTTCAGATTTGCATATTTCGAACTCAATCAGGAAAATTAAAGCTAAGCAAACACAATTTTTCAGGAAGATAGATGAAACCTCTTCTTCCGTTGAATGAAAGCAGCAGCGAGTTCGGAATCACAAGGCAACGGAAGATACTTGAAATTTTCGTCGGCGTCCTTCTCACAGGCCACGCGCCACCTTCTCTCTACCACCGGAAACTTCCTGATGATTTTATCCAAACATATTTATGAAAGCGGCAAAAGAAATCCATTGATCTAAGGCCAAGAAGAATTTCGCAGCACAAGGAAGATGATAGCTACCTGGAGAAAACAACAAAATCTTGATTGTTCAGAATCCAGAGAGCTCTGACGTAGCAACCACTCGGCATTTTCACTTATTTGTTTCGTTTCTTCAGTAGAGTTTAATTGATTCCCATTGAAATTTCCCGAAATAAATAAGAAACGAGATTAATAAATATGAAGTTCGAACTTCACGGTTGCCCACTATTTTGCATTTATTAGTTTTTTTCCTTGTACAAAGGTATAAATTAGTTTCGGTCCACCAATTAAAGAGAATTTCAACTTAAGGCCTAAATTTAAGCAAAAGTCTCAAATAAATCCTCAATTAGAAGCTTCTCACTTGGGAGCTATTTTTTTTTTTTTTCATCAACTTGGGTCATTCTTAAAATCAAAGGTTCAGAAAATGAACTAAAGGTGTAGAAGCTTCAGGTTAGATTCTGAGTCTATGAGCCTAGAAAACCAAGGTGTAGAAGCTGAAAAAGGTTTAGACAAGTGTTAATATTCACCGCACCCATTTTTATTATTTACCGCACCCTTAAAATACTGTTTTGCCCTTATTAAAAAATAATAATAAAAAATTCAATTTTTAATTTTTTTTTTTAAATGTGGCCAAAAAATATATTATCTTATAAATTGATAAATGTGGCCAATCATATGAATGTTATAACACAAAATTCGAAAAAAAAAAAATCATAAAATTCGAACAAAATTCAAAAAAAAAAAAAAAATAGAAAAATTCGAGCAAAATTCAAAAAAAATCCGAAAAAATGTCGGGACAATCCTCACGCACCGGGAAAGGACTCTCCAATTCACAAGTAATTTTTTTTTTTTTTTTTTACATTTTTCGCGATTTTTCGAAAAAAAAAACAAAATTTTTGGCCGGCCGTCCCGCAACCGCGGCCGCGGAGGGGAGAGCCGGCCGGCCTTTGCGCGGCATTTTGGCCTGGCCGCGCAGCCTTTGCAGCCCGAAATGGCTTGGCCGCGTCCGGCTACCCAATGCTCGGCCGCAATCACCATCCGGCTACCCAATGCTCGGCCGCGCGCGGCCGGATGCGTCCGGCCGGTCCACTCCAGGCCGCGCGCGGCCTTTAATTTTTTTTTATTTTTTTTTTGCGATTTTTTTTAATTAATGAAAATAATTAGTGATAAAATTATTTTATATTTTTTGTAATTAATAAAAAAAATTAATATATAATTAGAATTAGTGTAATTATTGTATATATTAATAGTAATTACTAATATAATTTTATTATATACTAATATAATTTATGATAATATATATTAAAAATTTATTAGTATATAAAAAATATAATTAATATATAAAAATCTAATTAATATATATTATTATATATTAATATAACTTGTTTCGTTGTGCTTTGTGTAGTATATATAAAATTCTATTAGTATATTAAAAATTCTATTAGTAATATAATATTCTATTAGTAGTATAATAAAAAAAATTTATATACTAATATATTATTTTTTTTAATATATACTAATAGAAAGTATTTATAAAAAAATAATATTAGTATTTAGTATTAAATTAATAGTATAAAATTATGTAATAGGAAAACTTTATATTAGTATAAATAATATATATGAATGTATTATCTTATAACGTAAAATTTATTGATATAACGTTAGAAGTTAGAATTGATTATATAATAAATTACAAATTACTATTATTATTTGAGAGAAGTTATAATTAATAATTTTGTAACATTATTAACATACATCGTAACATATTGCAGGTGCCACTCGAAGATTTTGGAGGAGACGGCGAAGATTACCGATCTTGTTTTGCTACAAATGAGCTATTTGATAGTCATGAGGAAGCTATTGAATGGGCAAAGGACATTGCATTGATATGGAATTTCGAATTGGTCATCTCGAGACACGAAAAAGATGGAATGGTTCGGACGTTGAGGTGTCATCGAGGGGAACGTTACAGAGGCAAGGCAGGAAAACTAGGAAATCTTGTGAATGTTGTTTTGAGACGTTCGAAGACTAAATTTACTGGCTGCCCTTTTCTGATAAAAGTCAAATTTGAAGCAAATTCCAAAAAATGGAGTATCTGGTTTCCTTTAGAAGACGAGAAGGGATTTCATAATCATGCTTTGGTTGTGCATCCCGAGGGTCATCGACAGATGAGCCGACTCAGCGATTCATCCAAAGAGATTGTCCGTGATATGACTGATGCTCAGGCAAGACCGGGAATAATATTGGCTGCAATTCAGGAGAAAAACCCAGTGGACAACGCTACTTGCCGACAAGTGTATAACTATAGAGGTCAATTGCGAAAAGACCGTCTGGAGGATAGAGATATTGTTGGCCAGCTCATGCATTTGGCCAGGGGCAACAACTACATAGTTTACACAGATGTTGACCGGACACACAGGAGTTGACACGTGTGTTCATGTCGCATCCAGGAGCAGCCAGTCTATTCCGAACATATTACTGGTATGTCGGTATAGATTCCACATACAAAACCAACAGGTATGTTACATTACGTTATAAATAGTAATATAATGTGAATCTTAAAATAGTATGGTTGAGTAAGTTTTTGATTCTATGTTTTTTCTTCTTGCTGCTTTCATTTGCACAGGTACCACATGCCGTTGGTTGAGATGATTGGAATGACGCCGTGCAATAAGAATTTCTTAATTGCTTATGCAATTATCAAGGACGAGACCGAGTACAGCTATGACTGGGTCCTACAGCGGTTGAGACTCTTGATTGGGCCTAATGTAGATCCTACAGTCATTGTCAGTGACAGGGAGTTGGGGTTGATCACTCCTATTCAGAGGAATTTTCCGACGACGCCCCAGTTACTATGCACGTGGCACATCTACAAGGATGTGGAAGACAGGGTCTATCGATTAACGTCGTCAACCACAACTAAAAATAAGATCTTCGCGCAGAAGTTCACGCACGGCAAGTGGAAGAAGGTTGTCGAGGCGAACACGTGGGACAAATATAAAACTGCCGTAATTGATTTGGCTGTTACATACGCGGCGTTTCCTCGTGTGCTGGAATATGTGGATCAGACATGGCTAGTGCACAAGGAGAAGTTTGTCAAAGTGTGTGTTGGTAATATTTTTGGGCAAGTAATAACCGAGTTACCCGACTCGGGTCGTTCTCTAAGAAAGATTAGCCGGATTAAATTGTATGTTTATTCAATTCACAAAAGAGAAAATATTTCTAAACATTCTAATTCAATTTAATAATGGAGTTTTAAACTAAATTAAAAGTAACATAAATGCTATCATTTTACTCTGAAAACCTTTCAAATGATAAAGTCGTTTTACTAGTAAATACTTTCTAACGATAAAATCGTTTTACTCGTAAATACTTTCAAACTAAAATTTGTTCTACTAGTAAAAACTTTCAAACAAATAAATTGTTCTACTAGTTAAATACTTTCAAACTATAAG